GTTGTTTCTGTCACCGTTTTATCAAGCTTAACCGCGTGTTCCCACCCGGCAGACGTCCGATACCGTGCCCAGGTGAGGCTGAGCTCTCTTGACCCTCCGACCTCTTCCCTTCTCCGCCCGGGAGAGGCCCGTCCTGTCTGGTGTGGATTCTGGTCAAAGGGTGCCCCCTCCCAAGGCCCTGATGCATATACAGAGAATGTAGCTTTCACAGACAACGGCGTCAAGTAATTTGGAGAAACATGATGGGAATCCTACTCCTCTGGTTGGAAAATAAGAATACGTGACTTTACACCTTGATTGGCTTCACCCCTCTGGGTGAGGGAGAGAAGACCTCACGTTTATTGAGTTGGCTTTTGAATATCACTTAGCCTGAACAGCCCCCAAGGTGGGTGTTCCCATACATCGTGACCGGAGTTTCAGACGAGGACGTGGGCTCACCAGAAACACAGTGCGTGCTTCTTCCCTAGCATCCGGCCCAGGCCCGCTCGTTTCTACACCCCCATTCTTCATATACTGTATTGTGGCCTTGGACTTTCGGGGCTTTTTATTTTTAACGTCTGTTTACTTGTTTTTGTTTTCAATGGCTCTAAAGAGAATCGGTAGGCACATGGCTAACTGAAAGAAACATTTTGGGGGCGTCCGGGTGGCTCAGTTGGTTAAGTATCCTAGTCTTGATTTTGGTTCAGGTCATGATCCCAAGGGTTGTGGGATCAAGACCCATGTTGGGCTCTGCACTGACAGCATGGAGCCTGCTTGGGATTCTCTCTCTCTCTCTCTCAAAATAAATAAGTATTAAATTAAAAGGGGGGGAAAAAGCATTTTTGAGGCTCTTTCTGGAAATGTGGTATCTCCGGCAGAAGGCCCGAACCGGACGGAGAGGCTGGATCAAAGCCTCCGGTCTGTTTGTAAGAGACAGACTTAAATCAGAGCGACCTGACTCTGTTAGCACAGGGTGCACCTGGTGGGCACTACAGGGGGAGAACGGACCCTGCAACAGATGCTGTCACAGGGCCTGCTCTTGGGTTGGGGGTCCCATTCTTGTCTTTTCTCAGCCACGTCCTAAGACCTCAGAATTTGCAGTCCAGAGAGGCCGAGCCTTTGTTTTTTGGTCATAGGAAATCCTTGATTGTACTGAATGACTTCTATGCGTTGTGTGGACTTCCCAGTCACCCGAAACGTGGCCTCAGCCCAAACCTGGCGCCTTCCCTGCCACATTCACTGTCCTGCTTGTGGCCGCACAAGGGTGGCCTCCTCCCCAGCCCTCCCTCTTGGCCGGCCAGCCATTCCCCTGTCCTGCCCACTTGCCTTCCCGTCTTCTTTCCTCACAGTTCAAGACCTCATGTCTCAAGGGCGCCTGGGTGGCTCCGTCTGAGCACCTGACTCTTGATTTCGGCTCAGGTCATGATCACACAGTTCATGATTTTGAGCCCCGTGTCGGGCTCTGCACTGATGGTGTGGAGCCTGCTTGGGATTCTCTCTCTCCCTCGCTCTCTGCCCCTCCCCCGCTCTCTCTCAAAATAAATAAATAAGGATTTTTAAAAAAGACCTCATCTCACTCAGTCAGTTGCAGTCACCTCCCGCCTCCCATCTCATCCACTCCGTCCTTGACACGGACACAGAGAAATGAGAGTAATGACTGACATTGACTTATCCTCATCGTGCATCCAACACTCCTGTCACCCTTGCCTGTATTAGGGACGTTGAATTCTTACAATCACTCTGAGGCTGGCTGTATTGGTCCCTCCCCATGTTAACTGTGGGAGAACCCAAGAGGCAGGAAAGTTCGGTCTCATGCCCAAAACTCTAGAGTTTGTGAGCGGCCGGGCTGGGATCCAAACCCAGGCAGACTGGCTCCAGAGACTCTGGGCCGCACCGTTCCCTTCAAGCTTTCTAAAGCTTGTCTGATCACATCACCCCCTTGAGGGAAACAACAAAATTCTGAGTTCTCTGTGGCCTTCAGGATAAAGCTGAAACTGCTAATAAGGCGTCCATGCCCTACACAATGACCTTGGCCCGTTCCTCGGGCTGGTTCCTCTGCTTCCCTTCCCACCCTGCCCTCAAGTCACTCTGGAATCACCACCGCGGCCCACATCTGCTCTCTGCATCTCCATTTTGGCCCCTGCTCACAAGGTCCTTTGGCTTGGAGTTCCTTCTCGTCTGTCCAAGCCTTATTCATTCTTTCAGGTGGGGCTCGGATGCTGTGTTCCCTCAGGGAGGTGTGCCAGATCACCAGGGTCACAACTAATTGCCCCTCTTCCATTCTGAGCTGAGTCATCTTAACAAAGTTGCTTACGTCCTCAAAACGTCTCATTTGTAAGATGATTTGGAGCGGGTACCGTGTCTATTTCTTCACTAATGGGAATCGGGGACCTAGCGCATGTCCTGACACAGAGTGGGTGCTGGAATATTTGCTGACTGAATGAGTCAACCCTAAGGATTGAATGAGAGAAGAGTTGTAATGTGCCTGCACACCAGAGGCCCTCCATGCGCGACAGCCCTGAGCATCGTGGCATCCTCCGGCACGGATGTCTGTCCGCTCCTCTGTCTGGGGTCCGGAGTAGCTGCTCATTAAAATTTGTGCTGAATGTGAATTACCCCAAGCCTCTGATCAGTGAATGTTTTCAGGGAAACTGGAAGAGGAACCTAAAGTAAAATCTCTCTTAAAAATTATGCAGGTAGGGGCGCCTGGGTGGCTCAGTCGGTTGAGCGTCGGACTTCGGCTCAGGTCACGATCTCACGGTTCATGGGTTCGAGCCCCGCGTTGGGCTCTGTGCTGACAGCTCAGAGCCTGGAGCCTGCTTCGGATTCTGTGTCTCCCTCTCTCTCTGCTCCTCCCCCACTCATGCTCTGTCTCTCTCTCAAAAATAAATAAACATTTAAAAAATTAAAAAAAATAAAATTATGCAAGTAATGCACATTTGTTATATAAACAAATGAGACACAAGTGTGCAACATAGAAGTCACTGTCTCTTCTAAACCCCTGTGAGTCACCATTGTTAACTGTTGTATACAACCATAGAGCTAAGCTCATAGCTCTGTATGAACGGATATTAATTTTAAAAATAAGATCATGCTATTTCATCCAACTTGCTTCTTAAAAAATTTTTTTAGTTTTTTTATTTTTAAGGAGAGAGAGAGAGAGAGAGAGATAGTCCAAGCAGGGGAGGGGCAGAGAGAGAGGGAGACACAGAATCCGAAGCAGGCTCCAGGCTCTGAGCTGTCAGCAAAGAGCCCGATGCGGGGGCTCGAACCCATGAACCGCGAGATCACGACCTGAGCCGAAGTCAGACGCTTAACCAACTGAGCCACCCAGGTGGCCCTCATCTAACTTGCTTTTCAAACTCAACGATAGATCATAGACAGATTTCTCTACCAACTTATACTTTCTTCTTATCTTTGGTGGCTGCATAATGCTCCTTTGTGAGGAAGAGGGGGAGTTTACTGAAATCTGGAGCGTGCTCCTTCGCTGCTACCCAGCTTTTCCACAGCAATTCCCCCAGCAGTTAAAGGAGAGCTAGGGGCTGAGGACACTGGGGAGACGTGCAGTTTTTCTTCTAAGAGGCCGAAACTTGCAATACATGTCAGCCTTGACCAAGTGCCGTCTCTGCTTCCTCCAGTGCCTCGTAGCTTTTCCACTTGCCTGTCCAAGCACAACTGGTGATTCATGTGATGACATTGGGATCCCAAGGACTTGACCGTGCCATGGCCCCAGCTGATGGCTCAGGCCCAGTCTGGCCTGGCCTGGCCTGTTTCTATCCAGAAAACCTCAGTCTCTGACGGAGGAGCTGATTTTCCATCCAATGTTCTACCTTCTGACCTAGAGAAGAACACATTTTCCTGGCATAGTCAACTCAGAGCCAGCCCCAGTCTGACTGTGTTCAGTGACGCTGATGGCATCGGTCCCTCCCTTGTCCCTGGCACTTGCGTTTTGCAGACTGTCTTTCGGCTTTTTGCAAATATTTAGCTTTAGGATAGCCTGTAAACAGAACACCGATTCGTGATTCACTTGTCAGTTTACAACGGAAAATTAGTGATGTGCACAGCCCATTTCCGATCCTGGGCAGGGGGTGGTGGGGAGGGAAGCCAGAGGGTGCAGATTGCTCTGGAGATCCCTGCCCTGAGGAGAACTGGCCACCTACTGTGTGCCAAGCATTTTACATCCATCAGGACAGCGAGTACAGGGAGATCAGGGCAAGGAAGCACATGACCCACGGTCCACACTTACCCACGTAAGTGCCAGAGCGGAGGCTGAGCCCAGGCTGGGGTGGTGAAAAGTCAAGATTTTCCCACGACATCATGCATCCCCCATGTTTGTCTGCGTGAGGTCAGAAGACACGTATAGGAGATAATGTGCTCCTCGTCGGGGCATGTACGCCAAGATCCCTGGACATACCTGTTCAGATACCGCCACCCTCGGCATCCAGAGGGAATTCAGCTGATGGTGCCCAGTCACGCGTGGTGGTCCCCAGCCCCCAAGGGGCGAGCAGACCCAGGCACCGCCGGAGTTTGCGTGCGGCGGGCTCGAAGTGGGGACACCTTTAGAGAGCCCAGACCCAATCTTTTCCCTCTCGCGTGAGCTCTAAGAGTGCCACCACCACCAGCCGAGGCCATCTGCTGTCCTGTCCCACTGAGAGCCCCTGGGAGGGGTCCAGCAGGAGCCGGTGGTGGCCTCTGGCCTCCTTTCTCTCTCATCTGCTTATCGTCTCCATCTGATTTTACTTGGAAGGGAAGTAGTCCGAGGCAGTAACTACAAGTATCTTTACTTATGTTTAGAAAGTTGTTGGGGCGCCTGGGTGGCGCAGTCGGTTAAGCGTCCGACTTCAGCCAGGTCACGATCTCGCGGTCCGGGAGTTCGAGCCCCGCGTCGGGCTCTGGGCTGATGGCTCGGAGCCTGGAGCCTGTTTCCGATTCTGTGTCTCCCTCTCTCTCTGCCCCTCCCCCGTTCATGCTCTGTCTCTCTCTGTCCCAAAAATAAATAAACGTTGGAAAAAAAAAAAAAAAGAAAGTTGTTTTAATTAGATGTCAACAGTTGACATCCCGACAAACCCCCCCTTTCCCATTTCTCCGCTCTGTCCCGTCCCTGTGGCTCCTCTCTGCGTTCGTGAACCCAGGCTCGGGTGCCTGCCACGGCTTGCCGGGCGCGCACCGCCGATGTGGGGTGTCAGTAACGAACGGAAGTCATAAGCAGAAATGCAAAGCCAGCCACTTCTCCAGTCGTGTGCTCTCGATCAAGACCAGCATAGTGTTCTGGGAGGGGCGGGGGGATGAAAGCCCACAGCGTTAGGGCTTCTGGAAATGAACAAATAAGAAACACCACCACCGGCATCTGTCTTCTGCACAGAGATGCCGGGCATTCAGTGAGTGACCAGGCAAATGCGAAATCTCTACGCAGTAACAATCCCTCCCCCTGGATGCAATGCCTTCCTTCGAGAGAGCCTAAGTAGGTCTTTTATGCTAGTAACACTGCCTAGGGACAGCTATCATGATTCGTTTCTACACAGCTGGGAGAAACCAGGCAGAAAATAGGGGCAACTTCCCAAGGTCATGGTGAAACGCCCGCAGAGCCAGGTTAGAGCTGGGCCCTCCCGCAGCCCTCTTAGCACAGTCCGGCCACCTGTGCTGATGCAGTGTGGCCGTCTTTTCAGAGCCCTGCACCCCTCCCTGCCCGGGTGTCAGTAAACGGAGAGGCGATGGGCTTGGCGTGGGTCAGTCAGGCGCTCACCTCAGCAGAGCTTCGTGTCTGACCTGATGTCTAAAGAGCCAAGAGATTTCACAAAGACATCCCTCCAGACTCGGGAGCTGGAATTGCTCCCTGTGGCAGAGCCAGGAGGGCGAGGGCGGCAGCCAGTATTGTGAGATCACAGTGGGAAATGCTTGGGGATCCTTCTGCCGGCCTCCAAACCTGTGACCTCACAGCAGGGTTGAGATGAGAACGGCAGAGCCGTTCGAAATAGGCAAGGGGGCCTTTCCCCAGGGATGACGGAGCTGATGGTAACCGCGGCTCCCTTCTGCATCTGAGAGTCCAGGGCTGGAGAGACTGGAGGGACGCCGCCCATCGGTCTGCTGGAGGCCACACACAGCAGCTGGTTCCTCAGGTCTCTCGGTGTGCGAAGAGCGTACACGAACGGATGTACACCACAAGTAACTCCTGATGTGAATAACTGCAAATAACATCCCAGGTAACGTCATCAGCATCACAAGTAACTGATGTAAATAACTCACACTGGGCAACACGCTTACCCGTGACACACACACATCACTTCAACGCCCTCTTAGCGCATTAAACGAAGGGTGCGAGGGGGCACCCGGGTGGCTCAGTCAACCGACCTCAGCTCCGGTGGTGATCTCATGGTTCATGGGTTCGAGCCCCACATCGGGCTCTGTGCTGACAGCACTGAGCCTGCTTTGGATTCTGTGTCTCCCTCTCTCTCTGCCGCACGCCCGCTGGTTCCCTCTCTCTCTCTCAAAAATAAACATTAAAAAAAAAAATAAATGAAGGGCTTAAAAATGAATAAGACGCTGTACCTGCCATGGCCACCTCCAGCCCATAGTCGGGGTGAAAAGACCAAGAAGGGACCACAATACAGTGTCAAACTCCTGGGTTGTACAGGCTATTCTTTGGTCTAAAGGAGAGGGAAACAGAAAAGCAGGTGACCTGTGAACTGACCTTGGATGGATGAGAAAGGGAGACAGGCCTGAGGCCTGGGGGGGCAGAGGCAACAGCAGGCACAGAGGCCAGGCTCGCTCAGGACACAACGGCTGTGCTCCGCAGCGGCAGGCGGGCGTGAGGCTGGGTGGCCCTCTGGGTCCCCCGGCTGCTGTGCCAAAGAATCTGGCCTTGGCCTGTGGCCGTAGGGTGTTGGGGGCCGGCGAAAGTGTATTTTAAGCAGGAACGGGATCCAGCCAGTGCTATTTTATGGAAAGATGATGAGGTCTGCAGAGTTCTGAGCATTAGCAAGGGGCATAACGGCGTTGGGTGTTGTAGTCCCCACGGCCACACGACAATTACAGCCCGAACTTAGCCGCACAACTGCTTCTTGTGCTCAGAACTGCAATTTGGGCAGGGCTTGGGGTAGTTCGTCCCCGCTTGGCTCAGGTGGGGCTCAACGGCGGGGCAACAGCCGTGGGGAGTCCTGGGGCGTCTTCCTTTTGGTGGTCTCCCCACAGGGTCTCTCCGGCGAGGCGGCTTCAGGGTGGCTGCATTTCTGACATGGCCCAGGGTGTCAAAGGCGTACGTGGAGGCAGATGATGGGATTGCCTCTTAGGACCTGGCCTCAGGAGCCACAGCGCCTCTTCTGTTCATCCAGGCAGTGACAGGGACCGGCCAGGGTTCAGGTGGGAGGGGGCAGGGCAGGGTAGCTTGAAACTCCTCAAGTGGAACCGGCAGCGTTCTCGAAGAACATGGGGGATGAGAAATCTCGCTGTTGCTCTGACCACCTTGGAACATAAAGTTCCCCGCTGCTACATGCCAGGCCCAGGAGCCAAAGTTTTAAATACGTTTTCTCATTTTATTCTCCCCTCTACCTAAGAGGTAGGTTTTTTTTTTTTTCCCTTAGGTTTATGTATCTGAGGGAGAGAGAGGCAGAGAGAGGAAAGGAGGAAGCAACTCCCCACAGATCCCCACCCAGGGCTTGATCGCATGAACCGCAGGATCATGACCTGAGCCAAAATCAAGAGTTGGACGCTTAACTACTGAGCCACTCAGGCGCCCCAAGAGGGAGGTATTAATCCTGTCTCCTTTACACCCAGGAAATCCCAGGAGGGCTTGGACAGGTTAAGTGGTCTGCCTAAAGCCATACACCAAGCAGCAATAGGGCTGGATTCCGGGTGCAAGGCCGATGGCCCCCGGGCGTCTTTCCCTCTCCCTGCTGCCACCTCAGCCGTGGGAAGGAAACCACGGACGCAGGCTAGTTCAAAGGTCATTATTCTGCCGCAGAATGCTATCACCACTAAAAAGGGAGGGCGATTTATGAGCTGAAGAGGAGGCTGAACCCACGGATCTTAAAGGCCAGATCTTGAAGATGAACAGTTCTTGAAGATCTTGAAGACCTTGTATCTGCATCACGGGTGACAGGTGACCAGCGTTTCCTGTGGCAGTCGCCACAAATACCCGGGAGTCAGAGCTATCAGCTGGCACTTGCCGAGTGCCAGGCTCTGGGAGATGCACTTCACGTGCCCTAAGTTAATTTCACAATAACCTTGTGAGACAGGTATTATTATTAATTGAATAAGGAATTCAAGGAGTTGAATAGCATCGCAGAGGCGACCTCACCCCGTGGCCCCCACTTTCCTGCCTTTTTCCCCATCCACCATGACAACAGGAACCGATGAATTGATGCTCCCCCCACCCCCACCCCCCGCTCTCATGGGGCAGCACGGGCCATGGGGCGGTTAGGAAAGCCCCCTCGGACAGGCTGGGCTGGAACCCAGCCCCACGACTCACTAGCCGTGTGGACTTGAGCCAGTCACTTAACCTTTCGGTGCCTCCGTGTCCTCCTCTGTAACACGAGGTTCTCAGCAGGAGTGTAAGACAAGCCTGGGCGGTCTCCGTGCACACCGTGGCGCAGAAGCAGCACCTGACAGCTGCAGCCACTGTTTCTTGCCAGGAGGCTGGTGCCAGCGGCTCCGTGGCATTGACTTGTGCACCGGGAGATCTCACGCTCTGGGGATCTGCATCGTTTTCTGCCCAGGGACAAGAGCGGCTTGTTTATACTCGCCTTGTGGGGGTGGGGGCGGGTTACTCCGCCCAGCCACTTGCAGGGGATAAACGAACGACGAAATGGGGAGTGGGGTGAGGGGCAGACGGAAGAGTGTGCAGACACAGTGCAGCTTCATGGACACTGGCCCCAAAGCCAGGGATGCCACCGATGGCCTGAGTCGGAGCCCACATGGCTGCGTCCCAGTGATGCCGAGCGGGGCTCTGGATGTAGGCCTGGGCACTTTGGGTTGGAAAAGGAGCTGCAAACGAGGAAGAAGGAGCCCCCTGCAGTGGTGAGCATCTTTACCACCTGCTGGCCAACCCCACTTCTTCTTCGAAAGGAAGCTCCTGTGGTTGTACACAGGGAGGCACCTGAGAGGAAGGACCTGCCTTCGACTCCAAATTAGGCCTTTTTTTTTTTTTTTTTTTTTTTTTTTTTTTACCAGCTGAGCCCCTGTGCAGAGTCTCCCATCACCGGGGGGAAGTGCCCCGCATGAGGTATCATCCTGCTGCTGCTAAAGTTCCATGGAGAAGCTTCTCCTCCGACCGCAGGGCAAGTGACTGCAAGGAATCAGCCCTGAGGCCAGGGCGAAGGGATGCCTGGAGCTCCCCAGAGGGCTTGGCAGGCTTCATAGACGCTTCCATGGGTACTTTCGGAAGAGTGAGCAGGGAGCCGAGACCCCAGAGCTTGGAAGGGTGGCCCTTCCCTTTGGTTTACGCACGGTGGGGGACGTCCGCTGTTCCTGGAGTGCCCAGGACCCCCTCTTCTGGGGACTCTAGCCCCGTGGCCTGGTGGGGCCGGCATGCTCAGGCCACACCTGCTTCTGCAGCCACTGACCCAGGCTAAGTTCCTGCTCACCTCAGATGACACAGGCATCGGGGCGGGGCCGTTCAGTTACCAAGTCCTCCGTGACATTCTTCACCCCCTCCGCACCCCTTCTCTAGAAGTGGAGCTAGGTTCCGGAGGGCAGGTGCCCAGCGTCACGGAGAAGGGCACCCCATCTGAGTTCCTGCCCATGGTCCCCCACCCAGGGGCACTGCTGTTCTTCTGGTGTTTTGGTGAGTCGGTTCTGTGAAGTAAAACGTGCCTCCCCCTGCCCGAGCTGGCTGGCTGGTCTGGTCCCCAGGGTGAGCCATCACTCCAAGCCCTGAGTGATGTTCACATGAGAGGGTTTTTGGACCAGCTGCAGCAGCCCGCCTCCCACGCCCCGCAGTGGGGATCCTTAGAGATCATAGCCTCACCCCTCAGCCTTCTGTAGAACCTTCCTTCCAAACACTTCAAAGCCAGACTCTTGGGTGTCCTCACTGTGGACCACCCCTCCCCCGCCCTCCCAGGGTTAAGACCCGCTGAGTGTGAGAAGCCCCCTCCCTTCTTCCTATATTATCAACTCCCCCGGCTATCTTGGAGCTAAATTCACTTTTTGCTCCTTTCCTTTCTCTTTTGAAAAACAAAAATCAACATTAAAGGCTACATACAGGTAGGCCTGGCTTTAAACCGCAGACTTCCAGGGCACCTGGGTGGCTCAGTCAGTTAAACATCTGACTTTGGCTCAGGTTATGATCTCACGGTTCTGCGGTTCGAGCCCCGCATTGGGTTCTGTGCTGACAGCTCAGAGCCTGGAGCCTGCTTCGGATTCTGTGTCTCCCTCTCTCGCTGCCCCTCCCCCCTTGTGCTCTGTCTTTCTCTGCCTCTCAAAAATAAATAAACGTTAAAAAAAATTAAAAATAAATAAACCGCAGCCTTCCTGATGGGAGGCCGTGTTCCTCTCGGGAGCACCATGACAAGGGCAGATCCCTTACTTCCCACCGTGCGTTTCAAGTGGGAGTTTTATAGAACCTGTGTTTACACACAGCTTTCAAAGAGCAGGTCAACCTCATGTTCTGAAAATCCGGGTCAATCCCTTTTCTCACATCCTTGGAACTTCACCAGCATTGATCAGAAGAATCTGCATGTGGGTTTTTTTTGTCTTTCTGACGTTTGCTGGTCAGCTTGTTTTTTTATCTTTCATCTTTCCCACAAGGGTTCCAGGCGGTTCACAGCAAAGCCCCCACACACAGAATGGCTAATAAAAGAAAAACAGGAGACCCTTGATAGGTGTGATTTCAAATCCCTACCTTCATCTTAAAAAAAAAAAAAAAAAACTTGGGGCGCCTGGGTGGCGCAGTCGGTGAAGCGTCCGACTTCAGCCAGGTCACGATCTCGCAGTCCATGAGTTCGAGCCCCGCGTCGGGCTCTGGGCTGATGGCTCAGAGCCTGGAGCCTGTTTCCGATTCTGTGTCTCCCTCTCTCTCTGCCCCTCCCCCGTTCATGCTCTGTCTCTCTCTGTCCCAAAAATAAATAAAAACGTTGAAAAAAAAATTAAAAAAAAACAAAAACAAAAACAAAAACTTAATGTTTATTTATTTTTGACAGAGAGAGACCATGAGCGGGGGAGGGGCAGAGAGAGAGGGAGACCCAGAATCCGAAGGAGGCTCCAGGCTCTGAGCCATCAGCACAGAGCCCGATGTGGGGCTTGAACTCATAAACCGTGAGATCACGACCTGAG